CGTGGCAATCCTTCCCCGCCCTCAGTAGTCCTGTTTACTATTTGTTTCCGTGGGTGTCTCTCCATGGATAGGAAAAGGCATCCCGTTATTACTGGTATATACAAAGCTTAACTACTAGAAAGGTTGACTTTTTTACCCCTGATATGCATTGGCCACTTGAATTTATTAAAAAAAAATTTTTTTTATGTCTATTTATTTTGTTTTTGAGAGAGAGAAAGAGAGACAGACCGAGAGGGGGAGGGGCAGAGAGAGAGGGAGACACAGAATCCGAAGCAGGCTCCAGGCTCCGAGCTGTCAGCACAGAGCCCGATGCGGGGCTCGAACTCAAGAACTGTGAGATGGTGACCTGAGCCGACGTTGGACGCTTAACCGACTAAGCCACCCAGGCGCCCCTGGCCACTTGAATTTAATAAAAGATACAAAATATCCTGGTTAGTCATTTTCTTCTATTGTCTTAAATCTCCTTCTGGCCTATGTAGTTTATGTCCTGTCTTCTACGGCTTTGTTTCCTGCCTTGCTTAACAATAACGCCTGACCCTCAGTGTTCGCACACACGGGCACACACACACACACACGCACACACACCCCTGAGGTTAAGATGTTTCCTAAAATGTCATCCAGTATTTGTATTTTGTATCCAGATCTTTGATCTGTCTGGGTAGGTCTGTCAGAACAGGACTGTCTGAAGAAAAGCAGAGTCCTGGAGGGTGAGAGAGAGCTTTCTAGAAGACAAGTCAGGGAACAGGTATTTTGGAGAAAAAGAGCAACAGTGAAAATGTCTTGAAGCAGGAAAGAGCTTGGCAGGTGGAAAGAGACCAGTGCGGCTGGAACAGAAAGATGGAAATAAGTCCGAGAGAAGGCCAGAGGCCAGAGGCCTGAGGTGGTCATGGGTGGCCCCTCAGGTCATGGCAAGGAGCGTAGAGAATACAGGAAGACACGTGTGGGGGGTATAGGTGACATGACTTATGGATGGTTTGGATTTGTGGAGAGGAAGGGAAGCGAGGAAGGCTCACCCCCTAAAGTTTTGGCTTGAGCAAATGGATTTAGGGTAGTGTCACTTCCTGAGTGGGAAGGAATAGAGGGAGTAACAGGCTTACAACGTCAACTCCTATGTCTTAGGTGGATTCAGGCTGAAAAGAGAGTTGCACGTGAAGGAGTTGGGGAGAAACGTGCGTACACGCATTCGCACTTCACAGCGGAGGTCGGGGCTGGAGACGTAAAATTGGAAGTTTATTGCGCATAAGACAGCCTCGGAAACTACAGAATTGATGGAACATCAGGGACATCGGGGAAAGACCGGGAACAAGTACCAAGCGTCAAGGTTCTGAACTTTAGGGCACGTGGTAGTCTGACCGTGTTGGGATCCATCTTTAACGCAAAGACGATTTGTTGTGGTGCAAAGTCAAGTCCTCTACTTTCGGTTCTGGGTATCACCACCGCCTGGTGTCCCTGAGGCTTAGCACACTCGCTTCTTTGGGAAACAGCCTCAACTGTAATGACGCGCGTTAGTCCTAAGCCCGGAGACGGTTCCATCCCCTTGCCCCAGCTGCCACACAGGGAAACTACTGCGGTGTAATCAAGTCCCATGAAGTTCGGATATTTTTTAAGATGCCCACCCTCACTCCATGCCTGTGACTTCACTTTATTTTCAAGTCTGCACTTCTTATTCTCGATTTCAGTACGCATGGGGAGTCCTCAGTTAAATTCCTAGCATCTTCTAATAATATACACGCATATTTAACAGGAATATTTACATTGGTAATTATAACTTAGGATCGACAGATGACAAACCCGTAGGTGGTAATGTAATTGACCTTAATATATGATCTTTCATAATTATAAAATGTATCATGCTTGTAAAAAAAAAAAAACTAGTAAGTGACTGTATAATGGACGGAATAATGTAAAAAGGGGTTTTCTAGTTGGTGATGCTGTATCATCCTGGTCTGCATTGTTGGGGATGCCCTAAATAACCAAATAATGATTCAGCTTAGCCTCACATCTCAGTAAATCCCTGAGATCAACTTTTTGTCCCTGGTGTCCAGGTGCCTCCAGTAATTGGAAGGCCTGGGTTTATCATTCTCATCAACTTGCCCCAACTGAAACGGTCCTCCCCAGGACCCTTGAGGCATGGCGGATGGAGACCTGCTCGATGGCTGGAAACCAACTGAAGCTACTGAGAATGTATTGCTCACTGGAGAATTTTCCAAAGGAGTAGCTGGGCTTTTGGATATAAACAGTGACGTTTCAAAGAGGAAGGAAAGAAGTATGCTGGGAGGGGGAGCTAGGACACATCTCTAAGCAGTGTCCTCTGCTTGGGGAACGGCCTCTTGGCTGTCCTCTTAGGTAAGGGCTGGTCACTTGGCACCTTCCGTGCTTCTCTGAAGCTCCCCAAATAAGATGCCAATGCAAACTAGTTTTTCAGAAGGGATTTTCTACTGCAAAGAGAAGATGTTATTAGCAACCTGTTAGTCTCCTCTGGTGATAAGCAGACCCTCTAGAACGAGGTGCTTCCTAATGGCCCAGCCACTGACTCAGCTCAGCATTTACACACTGCCCAATTTTCAAGTGTTTATCTTATGCAAGGGTCTATGCTGACTTAACAGGATGGGGTCTTTGACTTTAAGGAGGTCTTGCTGAAGAGGAAACAAATAAAATTAACACAATGTATCCTTAACCAAACAATACAGAGTTTTGTTACTGAAGCCCAGAGGGGAGAAATCAAAATCATATCTTCACTAACTCCTTCTTCATGCACAAGAAATTAGTGTATCAAGTCCTGTAACTCTTTACCGAACCACCTCCTGATTTTTCCCCTTGTTTCAAGTCTAGGGGCTTTTCCTCTGGGTTTGCAGTGCTAATACCGTGGGTGACCTTCCTCCGTTTGTGTAGATTCCAGGGAGAACACCTCTCCTCTTTCCCTTGAATTCTTCACAGCTGAGGATGGATACAACTGGTGACAGTCGGGTACATGGACAGAGTTAAGCCATTATGTATTGAGTTTTTACCGGTTTCATTATTCCGACAATCACCTATTAAGGGAGCTGTGCTTACAGCAGAACAGCCAGCAGTTAAAGTATTGGCCTCCTGACCTTGGGACTTAGACAAGGTCTAAGTCTGTGTTCTGTTCCTGTTACCTAGGCTTTCAAGTCTGGAGAGTGATAGCACTTACCTGTAGATTGTTGGCTTAAATGAATTTTCTGGAAGCAGGTAGGACTATGCCTGACACAGTAAAGTGCTTACTGTCAGCTGTTGCCCTTGAGTGCCTGTGTTCTAGTTTCAGAACCCACACTGCTGAGCCTACTTGTTTCACCACTAGGTGAGCGAAGGTGAACAGGAAGAAATGGAGGCAGGGGGGAATTGACCACGAAGCCCAAGGTCACCCACCTGGTCAGTGCTGGAGCTGGGCTCAAAACCAACCTGGAAAGTTCATGAAGAGCATTGCTAGGCTCATATAAAGCAATTCGGACCTAAGGATCCAAGTTCTCCAGCATACAAGAAATTCTGGGTGCAAAGAACCTGGTCCTCTGGGCGGACCCCAGTCTGGACCGCTGCCAGGCCGGAACCTCCCGTGTGCAGTCTCAGCCCGCCTACCCCTTAGAATCCTTACAAACTCAGAAAACTCTAACGTGTTAGAATCAAGGCGCTCACTTGTTCTGCCCCTTTGTCTTCACCAAACTCCCAGACACCCTAGCCCCTTTTTTTCCAGGGTGACTATCAGGCTGGGGGAGCGGGAGGCGGGACTCGGGGAAGGAGGGAGGTGGGTGGGAGTGGAGGAGGAGGAAGGCTGGGAGGGTGGAGGCTGCTTCTAGACCATTCCAGAAGCGTCACCATTTAGAAAGTGGGAGGCATGTCCACGGGGAACCAGCTTCTGTTTAGATGATCTCCCCTCCCCTCCCCGTACATATTCCGATATGAATGCTCCCAACACTGCCACCTGAAATGCTTCAGTGGGAGCTCCAAGAGCGTGTGCAAGAGGCTGTTTCTTCTTGGGCCGCCTGAGTCTCCGAGTGCAGGGGCGTGGGCAACCCGTGGCCCACTCACCCTTCCTGCCTAAAAACTTTCCAGAGCACTAACCCAGTCACCCCAAAGAATCACTTGGAGACTCAATCTTAGAAAATAAGATTGCAGGAAGTTTTGCACGGTCCCAGATTGCAGCTTTTGGTGTTGGGAGCAGCTAAATGACTAGATCCTCAGTAGCAACTGCTTTGGAGAGGCCTGTGGCCCGATTCTATCTACCTTTTTTTCAGGCTGCCTTAGGAATCTAGGCATTTGAGCCTCTTGAAATAAAGTGTTAATTGCAGTTGGCTGAAAGTCCAGCACTGCTCTAAGTTAGGGGCTCTAAACGCATTGATTGGCAGAAAGGTCTAATGAAAACACCAATTTTCCACCAGTTTATGGATGACAAGACCGAGTACCAGGAGTTAGAAACTGGTTCCAAAGCCAATTGACTTGTAAACAGGAGAAGCCTCAATTCAAATGTGGATTCAGTCAGTATTGTGAACTATCCTGTTCGGGGGAAAGCCACTTTTCAGAGACCCTTCCCCATACTTGAAGTTTCAGATAATACTTTGAAAACTTACAGGAGCAGAGGCTAACTCCTTTATAGATTAGTTAAGACGGGTTGCTCGCAGCCCAATACGAGGCACCTACCAGACTGGCCAGGGAGTTACCGTGTTACTCGGTTAAGTTTACCTTCAAGGACATCCGAGCAACTTCGCAAGACAGCTTAAGAAATCACTGCGGAGCTGCGCAGTTAACCGAGTTTTAAGTTAGGCATTACTATCCAAGGTGCCTAGATTCGTCAAGTCAGGAAGTACAAGCAGTTATCGGACACTCGATCTGCCGTTACCTAGAAGGACCGGGCGATTTTAACACCTGGACACTTGTTTTCAAAAGCCGAGGAACCGCACTATCCTGGCTTGGGCTAAAATCAACTTACCTTTATCGACTTCCCCGCCTTAACCTAAAAAGTGGTTTTAGCTCTTCCTTTGAAGTGGTGGGGGGCTCTGAAAAGAGCCTTTGGGTATGAAAGCGCTTCCGGAAACTCAGAGGACTGCCAGATCACTTGCCCTTGGCCTTGTGGTGGCTCTCGGTCTTCTTGGGCAACAGCACGGCCTGGATGTTGGGCAGGACGCCGCCCTGCGCGATGGTCACGCGGCCCAGCAGCTTGTTGAGCTCCTCGTCGTTGCGGATGGCCAGCTGCAGGTGGCGCGGGATGATGCGCGTCTTCTTGTTGTCGCGGGCCGCGTTGCCCGCCAGCTCCAGGATCTCGGCCGTCAGGTACTCCAGCACGGCCGCCAGGTACACCGGCGCGCCGGCCCCCACCCGCTCGGCGTAGTTGCCCTTGCGGAGCAGGCGGTGCACGCGGCCCACCGGAAACTGCAGCCCGGCGCGAGAAGAGCGAGACTTCGCCTTGGCGCGAGCCTTACCTCCCTGCTTGCCACGTCCAGACATCGTAAGCAACGGAAAGAAATCCCAAGACAAGAGAACTAATCACTTGCCCAAAGAGAGCAAGCCGGGAAGTAGGTAAAACATCGCTGCTTTTATAGCCATTTCCTGGGGAGCAAACCCGGTTGCCTGATTGGCTAGTAACGAGTCTCAGTCAAGTAGCCAATAGAAAAGCTTTATTTCCATACCTCATTTGCATAGTTCTGCCCATGGATGACAGCCTCACGGCTGGTCTTCCAATGAACTAAGACGCGGTCTGCATCCTTCATTAGCATAAAAGCCCTATAAGTAGCAGACATTCGCTTCCTGCTTTCACTCCACTTCTGGCGTTCTGAGGTTTTAAGATGCCTGAGCCAGCGAAGTCCGCTCCCGCCCCGAAGAAGGGCTCCAAGAAGGCGGTGACCAAGGCGCAGAAGAAGGACGGCAAGAAGCGTAAGCGCAGCCGCAAGGAGAGCTACTCGGTGTACGTGTACAAGGTGCTGAAGCAGGTGCACCCCGACACGGGCATCTCGTCCAAGGCCATGGGCATCATGAACTCGTTCGTCAACGACATCTTCGAGCGCATCGCGGGCGAGGCGTCGCGCCTGGCGCATTACAACAAGCGCTCGACCATCACGTCCCGGGAGATCCAGACGGCCGTGCGCCTGCTGCTGCCCGGGGAGCTGGCCAAGCACGCCGTGTCCGAGGGCACCAAGGCCGTCACCAAGTACACCAGCTCCAAGTAGACTCGCCAAGTAAGCGCCCTCTTAACCCAACCCCAAAGGCTCTTTTCAGGGCCACCCACATGTCCACTAAGAGAGCTGTAATCAAACACTTGAGTTTGCATGGGGGAGTTAGCAAGATATTTACCTTAAGGTATTGACTTTAGAAAAAGCCGTTGGACATGCAGGAATAAGTAGGTTCTTTGTTTTTAACGGTACTAAGAGACGGAGATGAAGGTGATACTAAGCACTGCCGAATTTTATGTGCCAAATGTTATATTCCATTACTCTACTCCGGGGAGTTTTCAGTGAAAACGCATGCTGTTTCGGGGCCGTGCTGTCTGCTTTATGCGACTCCCAACCTTCATAGGTGGCTGGTGGCTTGTAGTTAGGATCTACATACTGCTGTAGAAGACGCCTGGTCAAAACTGCTGGGTAACTTGCCTCCAAGGAGTCTGAACTGAAGGCAAGCAAGTACTAGGGGCGGAGAAAGGAGGTGGGTCGACGGGAAGGACGCCATTGAACTTGGCATACTCAGTCTCCCAATAGGGAACCTTCCGGTACCAGATACCGCAGGAAGTCTGTGTGTGGGGAAATTCCACTTTAAGCACTTCACTCGTGGACTTTGCTCCAGGCAAAAGTTTTAAGGTGTAAAAAGCGCTTTCTACGTTTGTTTTACTCAAGTCACACGTTTCAGTACCGAGTGGTCAAGTTTGCTTTTTCCATTAAAAACATGGGAGGGTACAGGGAATAAACTTTGTTACAAAGGACACAAAGACCTGTAACAATTTCGGATAAAATGCAGGACAGTGGCAGACGCTGGTCACACTAGCTCCTCAGCCAAACGCGAAGGTTTCCTGAGTCCTTCAGCAACTGAAATTGGATTTTTTTAATTCTCCTATGTGCCTATTGAGCCTGCTTAGGGTCTGATGGTCCAGTCCAGACTGACCACCTGTCAACGAGTCAGGTTACCCCCAAAACGTGCAGCTTCACTATTACCAGGTTGACTACAAGGGGTTGTTTGTTGTTTGTTTGCGTTCTTGTTTTTCTCTGTCACTTCTCCTCTTTTTGTCTTATATAAATTCTGGTCTGCCTTTGTTGGATGAAATAATTCTATAGTTTGTTCTCCCTTCTATACAAGTGAAGGGCGGGCTACTCATGAAGTACCTGACCATTTATTTCTGAAGGTTCCACCAAGATGTTGTTTACCTAAGTCCTACCATAGGAATCAATAGAAATGTGTGACCTGGGAAGGAACCTTGTCCAGCCCTGGGCTGTTGGGAGTTTTATGCTTATATTCCTTTGGTTCTTGATGGCTGCAATGTATTCTTGCCCAAAGTCGTTTCTTATTTTGGCTTTTCCTGATTGCCCTTTGCAGATCGGGTACACCCTGCTGGCTTTATGTCAGATCGTGAAGAGATTAGTTGGTGGCAAAGGACAGGGAATCTGAAGTCTAGATCATTTGTTAATTTTTCTGGGGTTGATTGTGTTTCTGTACTCTTTGTTCTTATAATTCTCTGGCATTTGAGAACACATGAACAGGAAGCTGGTCTTTTCTTTCTGGCCTTTAATGTGATCTCCTGGGTTTGGTGTTTTATGTTTGTATGCTGTGGATTCCGGAAACTAAAGATAAGAGTCTCTTTCCTCCTTTCCAAACGTTCTTTTCTTGTGTTTTCTCCTTACATATCCAAATAGTTGTCCGTATCTGCAAAAACAGCATTCCTGCTTCCAAGATAATGCAAACACACACTGGCAATCCGTAGTAACTTTTGACTTTAAGAAAGTGGTTAGGCCTTACAGGAGACTAATGACAAGAAAGAAAACAAGTTAACCAAATCTCCAGCGTGCAAAGGCCTGTCTCTTGCGAGGCAGAAGCCTCTGAAGTTTATGATTCAGCAACACAAAATTATTGTCGCTTCAGGCTTTTCAAGGTTAGAGAGAAGAGAGAAGAAACATGGTATCATAAATCACACTACTGAGTGGGACCCAAAGTGAAGGGTTCCGATACCTTTTTTGAGAATATTTTCTGTTTTGTGAATACAAATGATTTCGAGCAAGTTGTCTACTCTACCTCAGCAGGGGATCAGTAACTTACAGTGGAAACTTATTTACATTTTCAAGGGCTTATATAAGAATGAAAAACACAATTGAACGTAAGAGAAACTAGGAGCTAGAGAGTATAACGCTAGAGGAAATAAGTCAGTCAGAGAAAGACAAATGCCCTATGATTTCACACGTATATGGAATTTGAGAAACAAAAGGAGCAAAGGGAAAAAAGAGAGAGAGAGGCAAGCCAAGAAATGGATTCTTAACTATAGAGAGCATACTGAGGACTGTCAGAGGGGATGTTGGGGGGTGGGGGTGTGTGTGCTAAATGGATGGTGGGGATTAAGGAGGGCACTTGTGAACAGCGCCTGGTGATGCATGAAAATGTTGAATCCCTGTTGTGCTCCTGAAACTAATATTACACTGTATGTTAACTAACTGCGACTTAAATAAAAACTTAAAAAAGAGAAACTCAAATCAAAATAAACGTTCTCCCAATGTTTTAAGTGTGCTGCCCCTTTAAACTATAATTCAGAGAAAACAGAAAAGTTTAACTGTGAATTTAGTGGTTTTATTTATTTATTTATTAAACAAATTTTTTTTAATGTTTATTTATTTTTGAGAGAGACAGAGACAGAATGCGAGTGGGTTGGGGCAGAGAGGGAGGGAGGCACAGAATCCAAAGCAGGCTCCAGGCTCTGAGCTGTCAGCACAGAGCCTGACGCGGGGCTTGAACTCACGAACTGGGGGATCATGACCTGAGCCAAAGTTGGATGCTTAACCCACTGAGCCAGCCAGGTGCCCCAAGTTAGTGGTTTTAGTTAAGAGGTTATAGGATAGGAAACAAAACAGAACTCTATCATTTTTAAACAACTTAACATTTTTAGTTCATGATATGTAATTGTATAGGAAAATAGCACATATTTTTAATCAAGTAACTTTTTGGATACATTCATTGGCTTCACACTTTTGCTTTAGAAATGGCTTTTTGTCTTTTTCTTTGTTATTGTCATGATGTAAAAATAACATTAGCATGATATTCTAGTTCACACAAGTCTAGGGTTTATTTTCTTTTTTTTTTCATTTTATTTATTTGTTTTTAATAGGAAATTTATTGTCAAATTGGTTTCCATACAACACCCAGTGCTCATCCCAACAGGTGCCCTCCTCAATGCCCATCACCCACCCTCCCCTCCCTCCCACCCCCCATCAACCCTCAGTTTATTCTCAGTCTTTAAGAGTCTCTTATGGTTTGCCTCCCTCCCTCTCTTTTTTTTTTCCCTTCCCCTCCCCCATGGTCTTCTGTTAAGTTTCTCGGGATCCACATAAGAGTGAAAACATACGATATTTTCTCTGTATGACTTATTTCACTTAGCATATCACTCTCCAGTTCCATCCACGTTGCTACAAAAGGCCATATTTCATTCTTTCTCCTTGCCACGTAGTATTCCATTCTGTATATAAACCACAACTTCTTTATCCATTCATCAGTTGATGGACATTTAGGCTCTTTCCATAATTTGGCTATTGTTGAAAGTGCTGCTATAAACATTAGGATACAAGTGCCCCTGTGCATCAGCACTGCTCCTGTATCCCTTGGGTAAATTCCTAGCAGGGCTGTTGCTGGGTCATAGGTAGGGTTTATTTTCTAAAAAAAGAAAGAAAGAAAGAAAGAAAGAAAGAAAGAAAGAAAGAAACCCTAATTAATTTGAACTTATTAAATTTCTTCCAGTAGGTTTACTGGTTAGAAGAGTTAAGATCACTTTATTTAAAATTACACATCTGTAAATTACACACTGAACTAAATTAAATCATAATAGATAATATTTTTAAAAGTTAATGTTCATAATGTTGCATACAAATCACAAAAGCTCAGTGTGTCAGCTTAAATACTGAATTCACAACCTATACATAACTGTAAGAATTTTAAGGCATATTAAATTGAGTATTTAAAAGCCTAATCTTTGGATACCTGGACAATTTCTGAATTAGAGGGTACAAAATATGCATCCCTAAAAACAATTTGGTCTATGCAAGGCCCTTATTTTTACACAGTTGAGAATGACCCTAGATTAACAAGTTAGAGAATGTGGAGATGCCTTAGGAGAATGGATATATATATATTCGCTTATCTTTGCCAGGAGAGAACACAATCACCTGGTTCTTTTTTTTTTTTTTTTTTTTTTTAAGGTTTATTTATTTTTGAGAGAGAGAGAAAGCAATCAGGGGAGGGGCAGAGAAAGAGAGGGAGGCACAGAATCCAAAGCAGGCTCCTGGCTCTGAGCTGTCAGCACAGAGCCTGATGTGGGCCTTGAATCCACGAACC